TGACAGCTGGCTTTCTTTTCCTGTGTACAAAGGTGATTGTTTTGGCTTTGCTTTGCTTGTCATTTATTTTCTTACAGTTTAAAACTTAGCAATTAATTGTGAAGGGGTAAAATTTTCCCTATGATCATACTTATCAAGTATTATTAGTATTACATGAGTATTGAGTTGAAGTCATACTTTTCAATAAAATCATAGGACACATACTAAAACTTTTTGTTGTTCAATTATGATCTCCTTTTAATTGCAAAAGAAAGTTATGTAAAAGATTGTCTGCAGGGTAAATCTCACCCCAAAAAGACTGACTGAATTTAGCACATTTTACCACTATCCTCCAAATACTTTTTTTTTCATAAAAAAATTCATTAAGATGCTAACTGCATGTAGCAACTTCCCAAAATAAATGCCACCGTCATGTAGTATTACCATACACTAATGAGTTATTTTCAAAAGTGAAAATGCTTATGATTTTTATGGAACTAATGATAATATTAATGGCCTGATGCCAATCGATAAATTAAGAGTATAGGACCTCACATCTAGTAGAATCCATATATTTTACTAAATTAGGAAAATATGACTTCTCCTAGTGGAACATGTTCAAAGATCCCCTTTCTAAAGTAATCATCTAGAAAAAGATGCCTTTGTTTCTAGGAAGCCTCATTGAGCATAGGGCTGGCCACGCTGAGCTCCTTTGCTTGTCCTCTTGCAATATACTTCTGTACAGGAAGCACAGAGGTACATAACTGTTTTAAACCTTTTAGTTCTCCCAGAAGCCTTATTATGATGTACATATTTTCATATTTTTAAAAGAGACAAAGTAGGCAGAGAAAAGTTTAATAATTTTCCCAAGTTCACACAGCTTACAAGCTCACAAGTGTCAAAGTCAAATTTATATCTAGGCTTTCTAGTTCTGTAATTCATTTACCCTGACTTCTATGCTGTCCCACATTTCTGACATAATATAATTATGGAATAGTTCATGAACAAAATAATTGTTGAATATAAGCCCTCTGTCTGTCATCTATGTCATAATCATTAACATTGTCTGAAGTCATTTTTCTCATGGCTGGGACAAAATACCTGACACCCCCAACTTAAAGGAGGAGAGAATTCTTTTTGGCTCATAATTTTAGTCCGTAGTCTTCCGGTTCCAAGTTAGGAAGAGCCTGGAAGAAGGAAAGCTGCCCATTTCATCATGGTGGCAGAAAGCTGAGCACAAGGGAGAATCCTGGCAGGGAGAGACACCCTCGGAGTCACAGCCTCCCTGGCCCACCTCTTCCAAACAGACCCCACTTCCTAAAGGCATGTTTAGCTATTTTGTCCTGGGGGTCCGATCACATTCCCAGATCCCTGCCTATGAGTACATGGAGTTTTGGGGAGACATCCAAATATAATCCACGACAAACATCGATCACTTATTGATTACTGGGAGCTAACATATACAAGGGTGCGCATTGAAGACTTGCTTCTAAGTAGAGTTTAGATTTTCTTTTGCTGAGTTTGCTGATTCTTTCCATCAGAGTTAATAAAAAATACTTTGCATCTTGGATTTTTAAACTCTATATGCCTTTAGGTTGTTCTCAGTCTATCCTTTATATTTTCCAAATAAAACAAACAAGGCCAAAGCTGAATGCTTCTCCCAACACTGAATAAATCTATACTTGACCTATCAGGCTGTTATATCATCATATAAAGCACTGAAAGAAACAGACTTACAGTTTTAAAACACCTATCCACCTGTTTATAAATACCTGGAGAAGGCAGCTGAAAACAGTAAAAATTAGCGAAGAATTGACTGGCTTTCTTCTGTGGACCCTCTTACATAATATGGCTTCTTTTCTAACATTAATGTAGAGATATTTCCATTTTCAGGAAAAAGTTGTAAAAACAAAATCATAAAATGATGCCAAACAACAGCTAAGTAATAATGGAAATGATAAATGGGTACTTTATTAAATGACCAGTAATAAGGTTAATTTGTTCTCTTCTTGCTCAGGAGCTGCTTAAAGTAATTGCATCTTTGAAAACTGCACTGTCATCATTTTATGCTTTTGATGATGTCATGAAATTGTTCCATAGACTGGGACATGTTCAACAGGGTTTTTTTTCTTGTATCTTTCTTGCTATTGTAGTATGTTAATCTATAGGCTACTTATCATCCATGAATTGGCCATATTATATGTTATCTGTATGGTAAAAAGGGGACTCTGAATCACCCATAAAATATATGCTGGTCATAGTAAGATTGAATTCATACATATTCAGGTGTTCTAGACAACCATGAAATACACCTAATAACATTTTGTGGCATAAACAGCTTGGGGACCATGCCTATGCACACTAAATGGAAAAATGTAAAAACAAAGAAGGAAGAGGAGAAGAAAACACTTTACTTCAAAATAAATCGTTAAAATTTATGTGTTTAAATGTTTTAAAATTCCATTTTCTCTTCAAATTAGACCTGAATTTTGAACCCTTCTTTTTATATTTATCCATGTACCATAGATAAAAATCTTCTTACCTTTGTTCTAAAATAGATGTTGTTTCATATTAGTTCAGAAAATTAAATGATTTTAGCCCCCACAAATATTCTCTGCACATCTGTTTGTAGTAAGAAATCAGTAGAAGTCTAAGCTCCTCAAAGTAGCTCCCCAATTAGTAATAAATTTATTATATATTCTTTCATTATTATCATCCTGGTTATATGTTTCATTCCTTATTCATGCAATGAATTTTATTATTTCTTCTAGAAAACTAAATTTTTTGCTATTAAATGCCATGAATGCAATAAAGTTTGATGAGCCGGATGATGATGAAGTTATTTAAAATGTTACTTTTGCTAAAATATTTTCAGCTTATTTTTAAATAATGCTCCGAACTTTAAAAATATTATATTTATAAGTGTTGAAAAGTATCATTGGTATTTTAAGGTATTAAATACAAAGAACTTCTATGGGGGATTATTTTGTGAGCACCTAGTTTTGGAAGAGGCAAGTAAGTGATTATTTGAGTAAGTGAAAAAGAAATTATAAATTGTTGCTATGAAATTGAATAAATGGAAACTTCATATTAGTAAGTATATTCCAAATAATGATCCTGAAGAAGCTGGTTTGGTTTTTCTCATTTTCTTGAAAGGAGATTTGGTAAAAAGTCCCTAGAGGTACAGTGAGGTCGATGCACCACTGAGAACTCAAGGAGCTCTGCTTCACATTTGTTAAGCTAAGTTACTCTCTCCACAGCCCATCACAGCTGAAATCTAGGTTTTTAAAAATTACTCTTCAAAACATATGAATCACAAATTAATTTATAAATGGTTAAGTTTCAATGTGAATTTTATGCCTAAAGGCAATTGAATTATTCATAAGAAAAACACAACTAGGTAATTGTTTTAATATCAAGTAAACATCATCATTTATGCTAAATCAAATAGATCATGCTCAGTTACTTAGAAATTTTCCAGACGTCACCTTCAAGATGTTTTGAACTCTTCACAGAAAAACACAGCAAGGGGTTTGAACACAAAATAAACTTTTCATAAATAATTTAAGTTATGCTTTTGCTTAAGATTTCTTTTTTTCTCCCTTAAAATTTTCAAGCATGTAAAAAAGAATACAACAATACCCAATAGCATATTAATTCAATGACAAGTTTATATTTTTTCAGAAAACACATTCAAAGCATGACCACTATTGTTCATTCATTTATAAGAATAAAGCTAATAAAGGCAGTCAGACATGTAATTCACACCAGCAGGTCTACATAGTTCAACATTTTTATTCTCAGCAAAGTTAGGGGGAAAAAGGATCTAATGTCACTGCTTCTGTACAACCTGAAAAAAAACAGCAAGTGGGGAGTGACTGGCAACTATTTAAGAATTATATTCTGACCACGTGGAATACCAGACATTGCTGAGGGGAAGGTCAGTGACAATTAAGTGTAATATGCCAGTGTCCAAAGGTCTAGCTTCGCAACTGATTAAGCTGCTGTCATCTACATTTATCTCTACATCCAGTGACACCTGTTGGGCAAAAACACAAAATATGAACAGGACTTCGTGTACTTTTTAATGTCGAAAATATTTTTCACCTTTAAAACACATGCCCATATCCACCCAACACCTGTAGTGTTTTCATGAGTATAGCAACAGATTTCCATAAGGGTCGTTACGTCGGTCCTTCCTGTAAGACACGTTCATCGCGGCCGTTGAGAATCTGCATCCTTTCGAAAAGACTTCCCCCTCTTAAAAGTGAGGGTGGATACAATATAAACTGTTCAACACAAAGAGTGATTGTTGAAATTGAAAATCTGGAGACAATGCTGGGAAACTTGCCCATTTTAATCCATTTGCCTTGCACTGGTTTGACAGATTTAATTGCGTGCCCTTTGTACGGTTGAACCTTCAGTCATTACTGAGTACACCTCAATCCAGCGCTAGCTGAATTCATGCTCCGAGACGTCGCTACGTTGCAATAAGGTGTGAGAAGGCAAGGCGTCTGCGCACAGCCTGCACCCCGTTCTTTGCCAGTCCTGCCGAGAACAAAGGCTGTGATCCAGGCCTCCTGGAGCCACCCACAGTGCCCTGGACTGGTCCCAGAAATGACTCCTGTGTCGCCACGCAGGGACTGAAGTCGACCACGGCCTGGAGAGCGAAGCATTTCTGCTGCGGCTTTTTCTGCTGCTCCTTGCGTCTACCCCACCCCTTTTCCAAGTGCCCATCTCTCGGTCGACTGTCTTACAGGGAAAGTGGAACTCACTCCTGGGAAAGGCCGTACGGCCCGAGAACAAGCTGGAGTAGCTACTGAACACGGCACTTGGGGGAAAAAAAATAAACTTTCCGCTGTCTTTGGGTGAGAGGGGATAGAAGAGCAAGATCCATTTCTCCGCGCTTCCTCCCAGTCCCATGCCTTCGCAGCTCCCCACCCTACCCCACCGCACCACACCCCGCAGCTCCGCACAGTCTCTGGCCCGCGTCACCGCTGCACCGGCGCCCCCAGACTTACCGCTCACGACCCGGCGGCAGAAGGCTCCGTGGCCGCAGAGCAGTGCTGAGCCCAGCAGCAGGCAGACCACGCGCAGCATCCCGGCAAGGCTGCAGCAGCAGGTGTCCCGCAGCTAAGGTGCCCTCCGCCCGCTACTCTCACCCTGCAGACTCCTTCCCTCCCGGCTGGGTCCTACTCCCTCCGCCCGAGGACAGTCGCCTGGGCTCCTGCACGCATCGCCTTGGTGTGGGACCTGCCTCCGGGCGTGCTTGTTCCGCAAGCCGATGTGCTGGGCGAGAGCCTGCAACTCTGCGGGTGCGCGTGTGGGGACAGGGGACTAAGTTAGGAGGTCCTGTGCCTGTTTCAGACGTGAATAAGGAGCCCCAGCTTGGATCGGTCTGTTGCCCTTTGCTTCTGTCCCTGGCCTCTGGTACTGAAGGGCTGAGTTCCTGAGCCCCGGTCCCGACTCAGCAGTAGCAGCGGCTCTGCGCTGGAGGCGCGGTCTTATATAGCCTTATCCTTGGGTCCCTGCCCCTCGCTGGTTATACTTTTTAACTACTTCGTTTCTTCTGCTATGCAGGAGCGCCATAGCCACTCCCCCAAAAACTGGAGCCACTTTGCCAACAGTCCAGTAGTCAGCAGTCCCACCCCTTCCTCCCCCCTCCTCCTCCTGCCCTCTTTCTATTCGCCAACGGACTCTGTACTCATTTGGGTAAAATGTGACAGCTTTGCTATTAAACTCTGGCAAAAGTTGGATCCATTTGGTTTTCTGAGAGATAAATGTCCACGGGGATGCCAGGTTGTGGGGCCTTTCTGTATTTGTGCTAAATTGCTTGATCATATGAATTGCTAGATGCAGGGCAGTAGCCACTATGCGAGATGGATTGGCAAAGTGGGAGCCAAAACCGGATCTGTGAATTACAGAAAGTGGCAGGTTTTGCCACCTAGATTTGATACAGAGTATTTCCAAGCAGGTTGCTTGACTAAATTTCTACAGAAGTAAATTGAAGAGAATATTGGATGCATAGCTTTGCCAACTGATATTAATCTCAGTTTCTGCAACTCTAGAGAAAATTGTCAAGACAAAATAAATATTCCAAATTTTGGGGAAATTCCTGGTTATAAAATGTACTTATTTCTTTGCAGTCATCTTATTGCTGACTTATTGTTTACATTAGACTTAAAGTTCATCTTAAAAAATACGAGGCCACTTTTCCATAACCTGACCTGTTCTTTAAAGTAACAGTCCACTCACAAACTGTAATAGCAGTTTCCTGGAGGGTTGGAACGAAATTCATGGGACATTTTTCTATATCTAGCTTATGGTATGAACCCTCAAACTGCTCTCATAATAACCCCCAGTAGACTTTCCCTATTGTATTGCTCAAATGTGCCAAGATTTATTAGATAAAATCCTTCTGTCTTCACAGGTAATACACTTTCTCCTAACTTCTTGCTGTCTCTGGTTTTCATAAACCATAAGGATGCTCTAAATATTTGTTGGATTTTTTTTCTTGAAGAAGAGACATCAATGTTACCATAGTCAGAACAAGTTCTTTAGATGAAAAAATGTTAATACTTGGGATGAGTTTACAATTAGGTGTGCCCTGTCAATGTCTTTTTCATTGTATCACCTGAAAATATAGAAATTTTGGCAGGGGCATGGAAAACTGAAAAGTCTGGATTTTGTAAAGGATCTGTGAGCTTTACCACCTGCTAAATATTCACCAAATTAAGAAAACACACACACAGACATTCCAGAATTTTGAATGGATAACTATTAAAATCTTCAAGGCAGTATAGCTGAACCCTGAAAAAGTGTCAAAGTGGATCAATGGGTGTGTATGTGGCCAGAGTGCTGCCCTCCAGAGGCTCACAATCTGCTGTGAAAAAGGAAATGCAATAAAATAATGATTGGGAGTTGTGGAAGGACAAATTAAATATCATTTTAGCATAGAGGAAGTAGGCATATGTCTGTAGGTATGTTGGCATGCATTCTTGAGAAGCAGTCAAGGTTGGGAGTGCAGTCACCTTTGCTGATGGCATGAGGGACCTCTCCAAATGCCCGAGGACTTGGATTCTGCATGGGACTTACCCCTTTCATACCACTCTATTCCTGTTTGTTTGGTACCAGGGATGGAACTTGGAACCTTATGCTTGAGAAGCAGACAGCAGAACCACTGAGCTAAATCTCCAGCCCTTATACCACTCTATTCCTGACGATTTTTTATCCCAGGTGTGAGCCCAGCAATACAATCTCCTAGTAAATGAGATTACAACATAAACACTGGATAATTCCCTACAAATCAGTGAACTCTCTATTCTCTCAAATGTCTGTGAAGCCTAAAAGGCCAGCTAGTTCTCCAAAGCATTATTGTCAGGGAGGAGCCCCATAGTTTTAACATCTCAGAACATCCAAATTATAGTGATAGCTCATACTGAATATGGTGACACAAGCTTCCTAAAATGTCATTTATCTTTGGGCTAGAATTTTATCATTTTAAAGTGACCACACCCAATCTGCTGAATTCAGGAAAGTACAGGCTCATGTTAGATCTGATGTTTTTAAAGGTACTGACTGATAGGATCCGCTTTTTTGTTTCTCTATCACCAAATAAAATCTAGATAGATCATTGCTAAATTCAAGGAGTCCAGTTTGGATAGTCTTAAATATGGAACTTAAAATTACTAGATATTCTCTTTGAAGAGCATCAGGGGACACCATATAGCATAGCAGGAAGTAAAAATTAAAATGTTTGAACAAAAATGCATTTTTAAAAATGGAATACAGTTACTACAGTTAGGGGAAAACAACAAATACTCATTAATTTTTTAAACATGATTTTCAACACCTCCAATAACCTCCAGAGCTTATGGGGTCATAGGAGACAAGTGGCTTTTTGATGGCAAGCATTATAGACTCTAAATTAACCACACTAAATTAGAAGCTAAAAATTGTGTGCAGATCAATCAGAAGATGGAGGGGTTCCTCAATAGCAAGCAAGAGAACCTAAGGCATGTGAGGGACTATTTGTATCATGTGTGGAGTTAGGACTCAGGTCAGCTGAAGTCAAGGCCCAACAACACCATATGACTGGCAGTCTGGAGAGGCAGCCCTCACATGCCTAGTAAAGTAAAAGAACAATAGTACTAATAATCAAATGAAAACTTTCAAAACATCAAATTGATTGTACTAAGGACTTCAACATCAAATCAACACCAAAGAGGAATTTTGAAACCCAGAAATGGAAAGGTGATCTCAGTTATAAGTAGGAGTAGCCATAAATTTATCTCAGGAATAGGTTAATTACTGAATTCACAGAAGTTCAAAAGTATCAATATAGCAACACCTTTTGGAAACACAAGTTTTGAAATGTGATGTCAGTGCCCTTAATAATATATTATGATGAGAATATGTTCCAAACATGATTGACTCCATCACTCTCCCATCCACTTTCAGATGTCTGCAATCCCAAGTGAGCATCTGTTTTGTGAGTCTGTTAATAAATCTCAAGACAGCCTGAATTGCAGGCATTAATTTGTAGTCAGTGACTTCACCCTTGGTGGCTTTATCCTCAGTCACTTGTTTCATTCACATGTGCTCTAGTTCAAAAAGTGACAAATAAGGTCTACAAAGGAGACTTCCTACCATATATAAAACTATTACAATTTCATAATATATTTGAGATGTGATCAGAATCCATTATTAACTGTCTTGTTCACTCCATTTTATGATATGCAATGTGTTTTGTGAGTAATATGAATAATACTACCAGACATAACAAAAATATTTGAAGGTTTGGAAATGAAACCATTACTAGAGTTACTTCAAGGGAAAGCAAAACCATTTTTTCCAAGGTCATGGTTTGTTGCCATTTCCAGGAAAACACCATCAACTCCCAATATTTTCCTCGCAATGTTTTAGAGATGACCCTTCAGCATCTGTGTGATTCTGTAACTGGCTCAAGTTTGAGGATGTGCGATGGATCAAATTCCCCTGAGATTTAAATGTTCTTTTCAAAACATGTCTGTGTCACAAAATGTGTGACCTACTTTATTTAGAAGCTGGTTTCCACTCTTCTGCATGATTTCAGAAACTGTAAATTTTGCAGGAATAAAGAGGAGAGCTCCTTGTTCATAGTGATGTTAGGAATGCAATGAAGAATTACACCTGTTACAAAGGCATGCTTTCCTAAAACTTGAAGTTTAAAGTTAGTAAAATTTAAGTCGCTTTGTGGAGTGACCATTATGACCATTCACAGTAAAAATGTTTATGGTCTCTATTAATAAATTACCAAATCTGAAGAATCTTATGTGAATGATTAAATATTGACTCAGTAATAAATTTCCTTATATTTTTTTTAAAAATGCAACTGAATATTATTATCAGTCTGGCATGAGACAATACTTTAGTTCTAATCTTGGATTAATTTACCAAGTCTGGTCTTAATATACATCAATCAACCAACAAAATAAATTGAGATAAACCAACAAACAAAGGTATAAGTTAAATTTATTTTTACTTCAAATGTCTGGCCTGAATTATTAGGAAGATAACTGATAAATTTAATTAAGAGTTATAGGTAAAGTTAGAATGATTATTAGCTTAGCAGAAATGCAAGACCAAATTTTCTAAAAAAAAATGCTTTTGGAGAAGTTTCTCCACCTCCTTGGGTTTCACATATAAAATTTAAAAAGAGTGAATTGGAGAAGTTCTGTGCTTCCCGATTGAATGGCATTCCACACCAGATATGAGGTTACTATATTTCACAAAAAATTTAAATAATAAGCTGTATGCCCTTGGCCAGAATTTCATATGTTATCTGAATATGTGCAGTGATATTTCCAATATCCTAGATCCTATCATTCTAGTAATTGTAAATTTAATTAATTTTTGAAAGCTTCTTCCACATATTTGATCAATATTTCCTCAGGAAACAATTGCTACTAAGTGCATTCCTAATTAATATGTGTGTTAAAAATAAGGTTCCATCATCCAATGATCTGGGAATTAGTAGGTTTGAATGTTTCTGATGTCCGTTTCAGTTTTAAAATTCTATTTTTCTAAAGCTAAAAAAGCTTTACATCTTCCTTCATTTCTCCCTTTTCTCTTTCTTGCGTCCTTCCTTCCTGTCTGCCTATTAAAAAGACAATGTCAATTTATGATGAATTTTGTGCTCTTATTTGATTTCCAAATTATTCAGAAAACAGGAGTCCTGGAAAATTTCGATTGTCCTTTGAGTAACAGATCAACATATTACGCAGATGTCACATAAAGGAAAAATCCAAACAAAACAAAATAAAACTGAATACCAAGTTGAGTGAAAGATAATTGCTCAGAGACCATAAAACTATAAATACTTGATGAACCAAGGTATTTTTTTATGAAAGTTCTATATTTTACTAAAAGCAAAATTATACAAAGGAAAAAGAAAGAACCCCAAAAAGCACATCTTTATGTTATTCATGGCTATTCAACATTTTTTTTTCAAATATATCAAATGACCAGAAAATGATGATGCCAAAGTGAGGGATATTAACCATAAACTGGTTTATGTGGGATGATATATAGTAGAGGGAATTGGGGCAAAAAACAAAGGTATCAGGACAAAAAAA